CAAAAAAAAATCACATATAACCAATCAATATATGACATTAATTAGTTTTGATTTTCTTAGAATGTCGCACACCCCAATCATTCATGAATATTCATTAAGGGGGTTACACTTATCAAAAATCCAAAAATCTCTTAATGAAGGAACCATATATAGTTTTGATCTACATAGTTGACAGACCACCCCAATGTAACATGTATATTACTAATTAATTTCCGCTTAAGGTAGTTTAAACAGTAGTCAAGAGCAGATTTTATTTAGCCGCGACTAAACACACTTTCAAAAATCACCGGGATAAAATGTAGATCACTTAATATTAAATTTTAACAAGTCGAAGTTTAATGTGAAAAAGGTATATATAGTAATGTGTGTGTGTGTGTGTACCAAAAATTTTTATCGAAATTACGAAAATGTCAACGATTGGAAAAGTAATAATAATCATATCCTTTTTTTTTCTTATGCGCAAAGAAATAAAAAAGATTAATTAATAAAATTATATTTTTTTCTACATATAAAAATAAAAGACTATAAGATGTAAAGCTGCAGTAACGTGGGATGCAGATAAATTAAGTAAGTTTTATTATTATTATTATTATATTTGAGATAAAAAAAGAAGGAAAGGAAATGTATTAATTTTTTTTTTGTTTATTATTGGATTGTCTTATCGTCGTCGTCATCATCGTTATTATTATTACTTTAAAAATTTTTTTTTAAAAGGCATCGAAGAAGTTGAAATAGCTCCTCCAAAGGTACAAAATAACGATGTGCTTTCTTTCTCAAAAATCTTTCTTATTTTTTTTAAAAAAATATCAATGATGACGACAACAACGAACAATAACAGTAATAGTAGTAGTGATAACAGCATTTTACTTTATTTTGAAAAATATTATAGGATAAAGAAGTTCGTGTCAAAATCGTGGCTGCTTCTATGTAATTTAATTTTTTAATCTAAATTAACCCAATTATAAAATTAATTAATATACCTACGTACATACACACATACACATATAGATGTCATACTGATATGCGACATATTCACGGGAAAAGTAAGAATAATTTTCCATGCATATTGATATATATATATATATATATATATATATATATATACCGTAAGGTCTCAAAATATATTAACGAGACCTTACGGTATATTTATTCCTCATACGACTGATGCAAAACAATTTATATATATACATATACCGAAATTAATTATATATATATATGAAGCTGCTTTTTTATGGCCAATTATACATGGCCACGAGGGTTCAGGAATAGTTGAATCGGGTAAAATTTGAAAAGTTTTTTATCTACCTAACTATCACGCCTACTTGCTTCAAAATTTATCAAAAAAAAATTTTTTTTCATTATAAACGTAAAAATTCTATGTTAATTTATGTTATACATACGGTATCCGTGTAGTTGGTAAAGATGTCACATACGTAAAGCCTGGAGATCATGTTATTACTACGTACGTTCCACGTTGTGGTAAATGTGTATATTGTAATAACAATAGCACTGTTATTCGTACCAATTTTTGTCAAATGTTTCTTAATCAGGTGCGTGTTATTTGTTATTAAGATACGACCGAACGATTGATCAAGCTTTCACGTAAAAATTTATTTTTCCGCGAATTTTTTTTTCATACCAATTGATAATATAGTTGTCTGGTCTTATGCCTGATGGTACTAGCAGAATCACTTGTAAAGGTCAACAAGTGTTTACTTTTTTGGGGGTTTCTTCATTTTGTGAATATTCAAGTAATTAATAATTTATTATTATTATATAGATAGTAATATAACAATAATTAACTTTTTTTATCCTACAATAACACAATAATAAAGTCTTGACTGATGAAAATATTGTCAAAATCAATCCCCGTGCCCCATTGGATAGTGTTTGTTTATTGGCTTGTGGTCTTTCAACCGGTCTGTACCATTAATTGCCATATTATCTATTACCATTAATGATTAACATTTTATTATTGTTGTTATAGGTTATGGTGGGGTAACAAGAATAGCTAATATGAGAATTGGTTCTAGTGTTGGAGTTTTTGGTTGTGGAGCTGTCGGTTTAGGAGCAATTCAAGCCGCTGTTTCTCGCAATGCAAGGTGATGATGCTTTTTCAAACTTAATGTTTACTTATTTCGAAAAAAAATTATTAATTTATTAAAAAAAAAAAGCCGCATAATTGCAATCGATACCAATCCAAAGAAATTCGAATTAGGTAATAAATAAATAAAAATAAAAAGATTAGTAATAATAATTAATTAATCTTGCACGTTGTATTAATTTAATAGCAAAGAGATTGGGAGCAAAAGATTGTATCAACCCCAATGATTATAAAGATAAACCAATTCAACAAGTTTTAAAAGAACTTACAGGTATTGGACTTGATTATACTTTTGATTGCACCGGTAATACAAAAATAACCATCGCGGCTCTTGAGGTAATGAATCTGTGTGAATGTGTGATAAAAGTGATAAAGCGAAAACTGATAGATGAGAGAAAAAAGAGACGGATGGGAGAACATATACTTACTTTTATTTTTTATCTACATCCTGAACGATACTACTATATAACAAAGGCAACAAAAATAGGTACAGGAGAATCAATAGTTTTAGGTGTTTCCGATAAAGGTGAAGAAGATATTGGCGTTGCACTGCAACAATTAATGTTGGGTCGATATTGGAAGGGTGGGGTGTTTGGTAATTTAATACCAAAACGAGACATACCACAACTTGTCGAACAATACCTTGACAATAAATTGGAGATTGATTCGTTGGTTACTCATCGATTTAAATTTGTTGAGATTAATGAGGCTATAAAAGTTATGATGTCTGGTGATTGGTTCGTATATAATGTGTTTTTTTGGATGTTTTTGTCTATTATTTATAATTTACTTATAATTTATTGTTTTAACTCAAAAAAGTGTTAAAGCATCTATTTTGTTCGAAGGATGATGATACTAAAGTGGAGACTTTTTCATTTATCTATAAAATTTTAAAAATAAATTATTTATTTCTAATACGTAAAATATTTTAACCTTAAGGCTAGTGTGCATGTAAATCATTTTTAATAATAAAAAACAAAGTCGATCATTTGTGCTTCAAGTAAGATACTCCATTCCATTCAACCTTAGAAATTAATCACACTTGAAAGACATTATAATTAGTATAGAAAATAACAGAAATAAAATATAATTAATCTATTTACTTTGTGCTATCACATTATAAATACATTCATTTGTTTAAAATGTTAACATTATCATTACAATAATCTTCTACAGCATCTTTGTAAAATTATAATAGCCAAAAAGAGCAAGGATCACCATTATCCGTTATATCAAAGATAAATTTATTATAAACGACATGTATGAATTAGATGGACGATTCCTTTTTCCAATAATTGCATATAATTAAAAATATATAAATATATTGAAGTTAAAAAGAGAAAATTTCTTATAGAAGCACCCAAGAAGCAAAACAATGTTGCATTGATGAATTTATGAGTTGACAATAATAATAATATTATTATTATGTTATATTTTGTTTTTTATGTATATACAAAATAAAAAAAATTTTTTTTTGTATATATATACACATTTAATTTGTATCACATGATTTGATCATAAGTTTCGATTTAGCGGA